TGCCGCCGCTGGGAAGCCGCTGCCGGAGCCAGAGATGACGCCCCGATTGTCTACACCAGCGTAGCAGCTCGACACGACACTGCACCAACTCATCACTGCATCACCTCATCAACGGGCCGCTAGCCTAGCACCACTGCCACCACCAATGAGCCCCTACGCCACCTCTGCTAGCCATCGTGGATACGCCCTGCCGCGCCGCCGTGTTCTTCCCCTTGGGAGGCCCAAAGGCTGGCCTTTTCGCCATTGTGATGCTCTGCATGCACGCACACATGCACATGAGCCAAGGCCTGGCCTTACCGAGCCATGGGCGCTCAGGAACACCGGCATCCCGCACGCACACCGAGCGTGCTCACTATGGCCAGAGCATGGCCAAGGCGGAGCCGTTTCGTCGTCACCGAGCCGGTAGAGGTAGGAATCCCACCTCAACAAGCCTCGCCTCACAAAGAAACATGTCACACACTAGATGGGAGAAGAGGAGCCCTGGGGACCGTTGGTCACCTTACGACGTCGGTGCGGCCACGCGCTCGTGTCGCCGCCGTGCTGTGGCCATCCTGACTGACTCCGGCTGCCTCGCGAGATGAGACCAGGCCATCGAGTTTTGCCTTGATCCCGTGCACGTCGCCATGTAGATGGATGAGCGCAAAGACCACGCCTTGCCCTAGTTCGCCATGCCCGCAAGCTCGTCGAAGCTCCGCCGCTCGCCTTGCCGCGGTGCGGACTTCGCCATGGCTTATGGTCCCCGCCGACCAGTTTTGTGGCCTTCCCGTGACCCTAATCAAAGGAAAGGGCCACTTTTGGTCCCTGCTACAGCCATAGCTGCCCCGCCACTGTCGTCGTGCTGCTGCCACCGTGGCCAGCCTCGGTCAAGCCCCCGCTGTCACGATTGGAGTCACTAACGCATTTGCTAGAGCACGGGGAAGCCAGCGAAGCTCGCTGGAGCCATCCTGACACACCATAGGGCCCCACTGTCGAAACCGTGCCACCGTCGCCCGGCATCAAGCCTACGCTGGGCGCCCGAGCCTCTAATTCGTTGTCTTTGGCCCACCGTCGAGTTCCCCGTGACCTCATGATACCGTAGACCCCCTTAGCTGCCCCTCCGAGCCGCCACAGCGTGAGAACGCACGAGCTCGCCGTTGGCGACAGCATCGCCGCGATGGAGAGAGGGAGCCACCGCGCCCCCACCTAAACCCACGTGAACGCGGCGCACCATGAGCCGGAGAGAGGAGAGGGGGAAGTGGACGCGGTCCACTGTGGACTGTGCCTGCGGTCCATGGACTCGCACAGCGCTGTCCACCGTGGACCAATCGCATGGACCTAAGCCCAGTAGTGGCCCACTTACGCCACGTGGCCGCCAGTGCGTTTGACACGTGTCCGGCCCAGACCGGCCCAAACCAGCCCATTAGGCCCAGTCAACATTGACTATTGACTGTTGACATGGCCCCACCTGCCAGTCACTGTTGGCCGTGGGTCCCACCTGTCAGTGACCGTATTCTCCACGTCCAATCACGTACTGACACCTATCCTTTACTGTTCAAAATTTCCTTTTTCTTTTTCAAAAAATTATTTAAACTTGGAAAATTCATAGAAAATTCATATGACCTAAGAAAAATCTGAAACCAGTGCCCAAATTTTTCTAAAAATGAGCTCTACGTCATCGGCTTGTGTTTGAGTGCATTTGGATCTTTTGAATTTCTGTTGCCTCTTTGTGATTATCTATAGAAGTCGCTTATCGCGGCTATATGTCTCGTTTGACAGACCCGTAGGAGCCACAGACTGAGGAGCACGACCCCGACTACACTAAGGAGCTTGGAGACAACCTGCCAGGTGTCATGTCCCACCCAACCTTGCATAATCTTATTAGACATGCTACCATATAGATGCTAGTGCTTTACTTTTATACAAATGATTTGTGATAAGTTGCAAGGTAGAATTGCTTGTGAGCCATTACCTTGTCGCAACCTATACCCCTGCATACCCGCTGTTAGGTTAGACGCTCGCTTACTTGCTATTGCTTCTACTACGCATTATATCCGTGATGTGATGCTTGGTGGAGGATTGTTTGTGAGTGGTTAAGGCACTTTGGTGCCGATAATGTGGTAACAACCGGGGAGATCTTGGCATGCATCTTGGGTGTGTGGTGAGGGTTGAGTCGATCGGGTAGGATGTTTTGACGAGTCGATGGACGAGTCTTGCCGGGGGGGATGTGACCTGGGCATCCCCTACGAGTGGTACCTGTGGCCGATGCATGTGAGATGAGGTCCCAGGGTGGAGTCTTTGTGGGATGATGCCTCAGGATAGAGGTTCCATCGAGGCACGAGTTGTTTGTTATCCCCTTTGAGAGGATATCCTGTCTGGTCCCCCTAAGGACTGGTATGTCGAGAGAACCGTATCATAGGACTCTCCATGCACACCACTCGTCCCTAAATGGGCAGGGGACGCATGCTGACCAACTAGGACGATGCCACTACTGCTAGGTTGGAAGTGGATAGTGTAGGGAGGTATGGGCGTATGGCCCACACCCTCCTAAGATAGCGTAGTGACCTCTAGGGGGCCGGTACTACGTCTCACAGTCTCAGCGTTTCTGTGGGCTCTGGGGTGGCCCAGGGCTGAGTGGTAGGGTGGCATCGCACCGGTTGGGAGGTAGCCCAATATCGGCCTAGGAGGGGCACCGCCGATGATGGTGATCTTGTGGTTCCAGGTGTACACGCTCTATAGAGTTGATCGATCTATACGTATAGCTGCGTCCTCGGATATGGACATTCCTATGACCTACGCTTACCTTGATTAGTGAGTGGAGTCCTTTCTTTTCTCCCCCTGGATTCTTGTGTTGGTTTCCGGCCTTGGCCGATGAGGCAAGGTACGAGCGGGAGTCGTCCTTGTCTCCTAGAGAGTATGAGAGTGGTGAGATGTGTGTGATGGGATGGGAGAACGTGTGGATGAGATGAGTTAAAACTTGATGAATGATTATTAAAACTTGACACACTCGCATAGGAAACTACAGCCACAAATAGTTCTTTTGCTCTACGCTTGCATTCCACTACCACAAAAGCAAACACAAAAGCATAGGGTGGGAGCCAGTGGCCAGTACAAATTGTACTGATAATTGTTTGACAGGTTCTGAGCCCGAGTACGACTACCAGGGAGACGGTTGGGAGGATTAGAGGTCTCATTCCTGCGCTCAAGTTTGGTTGAGAAGATGGAGTTGACGTCCACTGCCTTTATACTTGATGTTGTTCCGGATGCTGCATGCTCTGAGTGACTCCGCCAAGTGGCGATGTAATAATGAGTAAACCTTGCTATTTGTACTCTCTTTAAGATATTATTCGATGTATGACTATGATTCTGACTGTTATTTGATAATGTGATGGAATGATCACCTGGGACTATCATGTTATATTTCGAATCTGTAGATTTTCCTTGGGATCATTTCAAGAGGTCTGAAGACATTTAGTCTAGGTTGATAACACCAACCGGAACTAAAAAGTGGCTTTTATTCCCGGTTGGTGTTACCAACCGAGATAAAAGGGTCTTCGGTGTCTGTAAAATTTAGACCCGGACTAATACTCACATTAATACCGAACCCCAACATAATCAAGACTAAAGGTGCGAACTGAAAGTCATTTATCTAGTGCAAGAGGTAGGCGATTGCCCTCATCTCGGCCTGACAAAGCTCACCGGCCTTGCATTCGCCGCTGATCAAAACTGCAGCAAGCCAGCAACCAATAATGTTTCTATATTATCCACGCGCACATGGATGGAATACCATCATTTCGCCAATGTGCTAGCACCACACGCGTGGCTAAGGTTTCCTAGGGAAGGTGAGATGAGGTGGCCGCTGGGGTCTTTAGATAGACGAACCTTGTATCGCCCCTAGCCTCGCCTCCTCGTATATGTATATAAGGATGAAAACGATACGGAAATATCCTGTACCAAACTGCATCGTTTTCTACATTTAATTTGATCGAGTTCGTATTTTCGGACAAATTTGAATTCGGTTCGAAATTCGGAACACCAAATTCGAAATCGGAACAAAACGGTTTAGACATTTTTTTCGACCGTTTTCTACTTTTCTACTTTTAATTCGGAATATCCCAAATTCAAAATTCAGTTTCGAAATTCGGTTTAAACCAAATTTGGCCCACTACAAGTCCAACGTCAGAAAAATTATATCTTTTTCATACGATCTCGGATGAAGATGATTTTTATATGAAAATTGTAGCTCTCGACTAGATCTACAACTTTTTAGTTCTTAGTTTTTTTATTTGATGTCTTGAAAATGTTCAAAAAAATTAAACAAAGTCAGCGATATATTAATCGCGTACAAGCGCTTGTTGCCTTAAAAAATCATATCTTCTTTACATCGTGTCGAATAGAGATACTTTTTAAGAAAGTTGTAGGACTTGTTAATTATTATATACTTGTTAATTGTTATGCACTTGGTCCTCTGGGTCAATATTCCGTATTGATTTTTCATATACCGACCGTGTTCGACATAATTCCGCTCGAATTAGTTCGTTTTCGAAATTTTTGATATTCCGTAAGTTCGTGTTTGTTTTCGTGTCTGCCTTTACCGCTTTCGTTTTCGTTTTCATATTCAAATGTAGAAGTAGAAAACGGTTAAGAGGTTTTCCGACCGTTTCTGACCGTTTTCATCCCTACTCGTATATACGAAGAGTCTGAAAATGTGCTTTTACCTAAGAGGTCTATTAGAAATCTCATGGATTAATATATTATTTCAGTCGACGTATAGACCCAATCCATAACTTATATGATTGTCGTTCGTACACGTTATTAACACTAAAGATTAGTATCAGTACGTGTAGCCTTAAACGAAAATAGCACAATTGTATTAAAAATAAAAATCTTGACACGTGTCGTGGAGTAGCATCCAACCCTCCGGTCTCCCTCACTATAAATTCATGCCGAAGCTGCTCATCTTCATAACGTGTTGCTTACAGAGAAAGAAAATCAATCAATCAAACTAGGTATTATTGAAGAAAATGGCTTTCTTCCTCTTGTGCATGTCGACGCTCCTGTTCATCTCCATCTCTTCCTACGTCTTCCAGCTGCTGGCCGACCGCCGCCACCGGCTTCCTCCTGGCCCCAGACCACTCCCGCTCATTGGCAACCTCCTCGACGTCGCGAGCGAGCTGCCGCACCGCTCCCTCGCGCGTCTCGCCGGACGCCACGGGCCCCTCATCACGGTCCGGCTCGGCACGCTACTCACCATCGTCGCCTCCTCTCCATCCACCGCCCGTGAGATCCTGCAGAAGCACAACGGCAGCCTCACCGGGCGCAGCCCGCCGGACGCGTGGCTAGCCCTTGCCCACGCTGCCAACTCCGTCTTCGTCCTCCCGCCGGACCGCAGGTGGCGCGCGCTGCGCAGGATCGGCACGGAGCACCTGCTCTCGGCGAGGCAGCTGGACGGCGCTCGGGTCCGGCCACTGCTGCGGGACGGAGTCCTCGACCTCGTCCGCCGCGTGTCTGCGCTAGCCGCGGCGGCGGCGCCGGTGGAGGTCGTGCACGCCGCGTTCGCGGCAATGATGGACCTGCAGTGGCGCGCCATGTTCTCGACGGGGCTAGACGACGCGGCGGCGTGGGCGCTGCACGATGCCGCGCGGGAGGCCGTGGCGCTGTCCCTGAAGCCCAACGTGTCGGACTTCTTCCCGGCGCTTGCCGCGGCCGACCTCCAGGGCGTGCGCCGCGGCTTCGCGAGACGGGTGGCGATGGTTTACAGGCTGGTCGACGAGCAGATCGAGCGCCGGATGCGGGGCCGGCGGGAAGCTGCTGCTTGCGGCGGTGTCAGCTCGTGCGAGAAGGACCTTTTAGAGGTGATGCTCGACATGTCGGAGCAAGGGAAGGACGACGGCGTGATAATGAGCGTCAACAGAGATGTGATCAGAACATTTCTCACGGTAAGCACGATTGCACGAAACGCTAAAGCTATATATACTTGCAGCCGACAGTTTCATAAGAAACAACACGCCCCGTGTACTTTACACACAAATTTTGTTCGAAAGCACATTACACACAGATTAAGGGTAAGTTTGGTTGGGATACAGATTCTCGTAGAAACGTTTCAAATCCAGATTCTTTCAGGAAACGTTTTGAATGATGAATCAGAAATACTTCACGAAATTGTTTGGCTAGTAGGCTAGATTTTGATTCATAAAAAAATCATAAAGAATTCATATATACATGAAAATAAGCATAAAAAATCCTGAACTTTTTTGTGGGCAAAAGACAACTTATTAAATAAATCCATTTTACCCAGTTGCACTTAAAATAGATTAACTAAAAATATACGATTGCTAGTGTACAGGAGAAGCAAGAAATAGAATTGGGCGAAACCACTCCAAGACCGTTTCCCATGCGTAGGCAAAAAAGTGAGAATTGTTTTAGCCGTTTATTGACAGAAATGTTTCTCCTTTCTCTTGTTTGGAAGTGATTATAGCATTTCTGGATAGAACCCGAAACGTTTCGACCTTCCAAATAGCCCCTAAGATGCAATCCCTATAGTTCAGAATTCAGATGCCTAATTTTTTTTTTTAGAACACGAGAGGTTTCTTGTGATATCTTGTGAGCTGTTCATGCTTTACTAGGACACCCCGTGCGAACCATCCATTTAGGAAGATCTAGATGGATATAATCACATACTCCCCAAAGAGATAATATATTTTTTATTTTAAAATATAATAGAGTATTTTTATTTTAATATAATAGAGTATTATTATTATCCCCAAAGAGATAATAGAATATTTTTTATTTTAAAATAAAATAGGAAAAAAATCTTGTAATTAGATGTAAAAACCATGCACCATCATATATAGGCGATGTGTGTTGAACAAGCATCATTAGTGTAACATCTTTTATTAGAAAATGTGGCATACAGGATAGAACAACCCTAACTTCCAACGTACACCAATGTTTGTTGAAGCGTCTTTTTATTCTCTCGACCATGACGTATGTCGATGTGTGGCATGCTTCTTGATCCCAACTTAACTATTTGTTGTAACAGTTTTCTATATATAAGTTGGAGTAAATTACACCGGTGGCCCCGAACTATTATACCGTTGCATGTAGGTTTCTCATTCTTTTTTGGTGACAATTACACATGCATCTAGGTTTCTAAACTATATACAAAATTGCATATCTAGCTAGCTGCCTAAACTCTTTTAAGTATCTTAATCCCAGTCCAAAGCAACATCACCCTGTTCGCTTGATCGTTTCGGTGGCTTATAAGCCGGCTGATGCTGTTTTGTTGTGAGAGAAAAACACTGTACCATGACTGATACGATCAAACGAACAGGGTCATGTCACATGAAATTAGCTGAAGTGGGGCTCCAGCATGGAACCAACATATGAGTCCGTAGCCCATAATTACATGGTGGGTCACTAAACTATTACCTAATTCTTATTAGGGTACCCGCAATAGTAAGAGTCAGTTACTAGCTCTAAGTCAACTTCTCCAATAGTGTTAGCTTTTACCAATGACTCATATTATGATTAGGCCCACATGACATTTTCATATGTTCCTAGCTCTTGATCAGCTTTTCTCTCTCTTCTATTAAAATATGGAAAAATAATAATTAGAGCTAGCTTATGAGTCACCCACTGTGGATGCCCTTATCTATAGGCAATAGTTTAGGTTGTGGACCCATGTGTCGTCGGTTTCGTGCTGAAGAGCCGCATCAACTAAGACTTGGATATTCAATTTGGAGGCCTAAATCTGTAATTTCAAACTTTGAGTCCATGATGACAATGATGTAATAGTTTTTTTTTGTGAATTACACAGTCCAACGTAGACGCCCATAACACGCACCTACACTCACCCCTATGAACACACGTACGCAAACCCTACCCCTATGAGCACCTTCGAAGGACTAAGCCGACAGATCTCGAGATTCACGAAGTCACCACTGTCGCCTCGCTGTCGATGGGGATGTCGTCTATCATTGAAAGCGTAGCGCCGTTAAAGCCTAGAATAAATCCAGAAAAATACGAGCATCCGGATGGGCTGATTCCACCATAAGAAACCTAGCCAACTGATATATTAATTAATAAGGACTGCTAGTGCCATGCTCTTCTAAACTACGAGAAGCGCTCAGATATCAGACAATGATCAGCGCACAAGGGAAAATTGTTTGTGAGTACTGATCTTCGTATTAATTAGGTACCGGCAACTTTTTTATATATCAGATTTTCAACGTATTAATTAGGTGCTGATCTTCGTCAGATCTCCTGTCCTGACTGCCAGGATTGGTTTTCCCCCTTTGTCTAATTATTTTAATCTTTAAATATTTTTTCTTTGAAATATGAAGGGCCAGGTATATTTTAGGCCTTAGCTCATAAAGAAGAATAACGACTGTAGTGGGACCCACCTTTTATAGACATGTGGTGGCATGGTCCTATTCTGTTGCAGTGGCTTCAGCGAACCAACAATATTTTTCTCTCATAATATTTAAGCATGCTAAACATCAACACAAGCCAAAATTTAGCTAAACTAACGATGTTGTCGCGTCGGGGTCCGGCAACGAAAGGAGCCGGTGGTACGGTCGCACCGGACCTGACCTGCGGGTCACAGTGGCCGGACCCATATGATTGGTCAGTAAATAAATATATACAATTGGGGTGTGATTAGTCAGGGTGCCATGGGCAGCATTGCTGAACCTGTTGCGGGGACACTGGCGTTCTGGCAATGACGTCGTCTTGAAGGCAACTGGTACTGGGCTACTAGCCGGTGGCGGTGCAAGCTGATAAAAAGTGGATGGAGATGGCCACGATTCGTTCAGAAGGCAAAAAAAAACATGGGACCTTCATTACAATAACTAGGATTGAGATTCGGTCCAATCGGAGGAATCATCGCCCATATATGTTTTTTTTTAAAAAACACACATATGCATGCATGACCTTTAATTTATTTCAAAATACCATATTACAGGACATCTTTCTGGCGACTGTGGATACAATATCGAGCACGATCGAGTGGGCTATGGCGGAGCTCCTACAGCACCCAGACACCCTGCGAAAGCTACAGAAAGAGCTGAGGAGTGTTCTCGGGTCCAAGCCGTACGTGGAGCACTCGGACGTCGGCCGTCTCCCCTACCTCCGGGCAGCCATCAGGGAGACGCTCCGGCTGCACCCGGTGGTGCCGCTGGTGCCGAACGAGGCCGAGCAGGCGGTGGAGATCCAGGGCCACGCCGTGCCCAAGGGCTGCACCGTGCTGGTCAACCTCTGGGCGGTGCACCGCGACGCCGGGGCGTGGCCGGAACCCGACAGGTTCGTGCCGGAGAGGTTCCTGCCGCGGCTCGAGGAGACCGGCTTTGTGGGGACCACTGAGTTCGAGTTCATCCCGTTCAGCGCTGGCCGGCGCGCCTGCCTCGGCCTGCCGCTCGCCACCAGGATGCTGCACGCCATGCTTGGCTCACTGCTGCTCCGGTTCGACTGGGCGCTCCAGCGGGAGGCGATGGAGAATGGCGTCGACATGTCCGAGAGTCTGGGATTGACGATGACCATGACTACCCCGCTCAAAGCTATTGCGAAGCCGTGGAGTGTGTGACCAGAGACGCCTGTATCGGAGTCGTCTTCTGCTGTTTGTGTGGGTCTCTTCAGTCTGGAGTGTGTGACCAGAGATCTCTGAATGTCGTATACTCCATGTTTCTAGTAAGTTTATTACGAATTTCTGCCGAAATTCGTCTAGGCTCAGCAAAATTCGGTTGTACCGGACAGGTCCGCAAAAAAGGTTATACCGAAATTTCGGACCTATACAACATGTATTGTGCAACTTTGTTGCTTTTTTTTTTCTCGAATACGCAAAAGGTTTGTGCGTCTTTGTATTAAGATCGAGAAATAGTGAAAATTACAATGACGCGCTACGGATATGGCACACCAGGAGAATTAGTGTTATACAATCAACTATGTCCTCCCTAGCATAAGGAAATCATGAGCTATTGCTCACTAATTAAACTACCTAGCCATCATTGACAGTTAGGCGCGCTTGCAATATTTCAAATAATATTTAATCCATAAAATAAAAATGTTGTGTATATTTTTTTTCCAAAAACGTATGTAATGTGCTGCAAACAACCCATTCGCAAGGCTCTTCACATAGCCTCGAGAACGTATGCATAATATCTGTCCACGGAAGATTTCACTCAGAGTGGGTGGATTGGTGGTAGGTGGTGATTAGATGGAACTCGTCACTATCTTTAGGTTTAGGTTCATTTATCCGTGAAAATGGCAATACTAAATGTGAGGATGGAACTACACCCAAATGTCCTGATTAACCGTGTCATCATCTATATTGGTCAACATTATCAAAGTGGTAATCCTAGTAGTCATTAAATTATTTGTCTCAAGAAATGCACAAAACCAAATATCCACGTGATACTTGGGTTACCATTTCCATTTCATATCCCAAAATAAGGCTCCAATTGATATTGCTCTACTCCCTCTGTCCCACACAATACATGTCGTTTTAAGATGCGTCGCTCCTATCAAGGTGAAGGCTCGAAGACATAAAAGCCCCTACAAAAGAATGACATCTACGGACACATGTTGTCGCTAGAGCACGGAACCACATCTCACGGAGGGAGAGCACCACTAGCAGCTGGCCACCACTTCATTTCTTCCTTATTCTATTCACATGGACGGGAACACGATGCGACGGATGGAATCTCTGCTACGGCTGGGTAGCTCGAGACCTGCCTACGGAGGCTAAAGCGTCAAGTAATATGGGACGAATTTTGAACTTCATAGTCATGTATTATGGGACAAAGGGAGTACTTCACTAGTGGAGTAGGTTTTTCGGCTTTGGTTCCACAAGCAACTCCTCTCATAGCGCTGAACTTTTTTTTTGAGACCTTTGGTAAAACATTTCCTCAAAATAGTAGATATATAGAAATGATGAAATGTCCATAATATCCTTGTCTTTCACTAGTAGAGAACTGACTTTCGGTTTTAGGCTTTAGTCCCATTCATTTTTGGGCCCAGGACTAAAGAAATAATTAGTCCCGGTTGGAGCTACCAACCAGGACTAAAGTCCCCTACCCAACGGCTAGAGCCATAGCTTTTGCAAGAGGGGACATTTAGTCCCGGTTGGTGGCTCAAACCGGGACTAAAAGTCACTGTCTAGTCTCAGTTGGAGCTATCAGCCATGACTAAACCTTTAATCCCGGTTAGTGGCTTCAACCGGGACTAGAGTTCCACCTATAGTCCGGGTTTGCACCACAAACCGGGACTACAAGTGCCAGGCTATAGACTTTCTCCTTCCTCCCCTAGCCCGAGCCATTTCAAGCTCTCTGTTCTTGCTCGTGGAAGGAGTTCATGCTTACAGGATTGGTGAAGTCTTTATTCCTCCATCCATTCTTCGATTCTAAAGGTTACCAACTTCATCCTCTAATATTTCATCACTAGCATGGCTCATTTCGTGCTCTAGAAATAGAGAAATTTGTGGTTTTTTAGATTAGGAATGATGGTAGATTTTTTTATTTATATACCATTTGAGCTCGAAATCACTTGATAGTTTGAATATGAAGATGAAGGAAGCTTATAGTAGTTCATCAAAACTAGTATGCACCTTGCATTGCCTCATTTCATGGTCTAGAAATAGAGAAATTTTTGGTTTATAGATTGGTAATAATGGTGGATATTTTTTATTTATGTGCCATTTGAGCTCAAAATCACTTGATAGTTTGCGTATATAGATGAAGCAATCTTATAGTAGCTCATCAAAACTAGTATGCACCTTTCATTGTCTCATTTCATGGTTTAGAAATAGAGAAATATAAGGTTTTTTTAGTATATAGCTCATTTAATTTCATGGTTCACAAAATGAGAAAATTATAGTAGTTGATGAAAATGAGTATAGAGAGTCGTAGACGGCGACTGCTCTGGGTCCTCGGCCTCGCATGGGGTCCCTAAGCGACTGAGGCCGAACCTCCCTCTCATTGCCTGTAGCAAGTGTGGAAAGAAGACTATGAGGGAGTACAGGGTAAAGAAGAAGGGTCCCAAGCAAGGGCGCATCTTCTACACGTGTCCGGAACGCGAAGTGAGTTATTTTTTTTGTCATGTTTTGTTATGGTTTGTAGCCGTTTTTTGTGATGATTTTGAATAAAGTTCTTGATTTGTTGATATAATTTTAGTGGGATGGCACTGGATCATGTGACGGTTGGTACTGGGAGGAAGAGTATGTTGAGCACGTCCAAAAATCTCTTGCAAATGCGACTGAGGCGACTGATGAGAGTGCACCTTTGTATGATGAGGCAATGAACCAACAGAAGAATGATCTGTTTGTTTTAGATGGAATTGGTCGCGAAATCCTTATTTTGCTGAAGTGCATTGTAGGTTTAGTTTGTTTAGTGCTATTTGGGATTGTCTATATTGTATCAAGACTAATAAATTAATGTTCGAGAGTACGTGAAACATCTGTGTGGTATAGGATATTAATTAATCATGTTGATTGATAGATATTTTGGATCTTTTAATTAACTACTAATCATGCATGTTGTATAATATGGGTTATTGCAAGTTTTTGATGTGGTGTACGTCATGTAATGCAGATGAACCAGCAATGGATGTACAACATGGATCGCCGCTACCTGGAGTTCATTAGGGGCATGCATGAATTCATAAATGTGGCCAAGGCAAATATGTAGAATGGTTTCATGCGCTACCCATGTGTTCTATGTAAGAATGAGAAGGATTATTCTTGCTCAAGGATCCTTCACGAACACCTATTTACGTTGGGTTTTATGTCAAACTATATTTGTTGGACTAAGCACGGAGAAAGAGGTGTTATAATGGAAGAAGATGAAGAAGAAGAAGGGGATGATGACAACATTACTATTCATGGGTTCACTGAATACGGTGCCTTTGATGATATTGCAATGGGGGAAGCTAAAGAAGAGGTAGCGGCTAAAGAAGAGGTAGCAGCAAAAGATGAGCCCGCTGATGATCTTGGTCAGGCCATCCGTGATGCACAGAGAGAATGCGAAAGTGAAAAGGAGAAGATCAAGTTCGAGCGCATGCTAGAGGATCACAAGAAATTGTTATACCACTTGCGAAGAGGGGCAAAAAAGTTGGGTACCACACTTGAATTGCTGCAATGGAAGGTAAAGAATGGTGTATCCGACAAGAGATTTGGGGAGTTACTGACTATCGCAAAGAAGATGCTTCCGAAGGCAAACGAATTGTCCGCCACTACATGCGCAGCAAAACAGGTCATCTACCCTCTAGGATTAGAAATCCAGAAGATACATGCATGTCCTAATGACTACATCCTCTACCGCAGCAAGTATGAGAATTGGATGCATGCCCAATATGCCATGCATCACGGTATAAGATCAGGCGAGATGACCCTGGTGATGTTGAGGGCGAAGGTGAACGTTCCAGGAAGAGAATCCCTACCAAGGTGATGTGGTATGCTCCTATAATACCACGCTTGAAACATTTGTTCAGAAACAAAGAGCATGCAAAGTTGCTGCGATGGCACAAAGAAGACCATAAGGTAGACGATATGTTGAGACACTCCGTAGATGGGTCCTAGTGGAGAGCAATCGACAGACAATTCCCAAAGTTTGCAGATGACGCAAGAAACTTAAGGTTTGCTTTAAGTACGGATGGCATGAATCCTTTAGGGGAGCATAGTAGCAGTCACAGCACTTGGCCTGTTACTCTATGTATCTACAACCTTCCTCCATGGTTGTGCATGAAGCGGAAGTTCATTATGATGACAGTGCTCATCCAAGGCCTGAAGCAACCTAGAAACGACATTGATGTGTACCTGAGGCCATTAGTTGAGGAACTTTAACTTTTGTGGAACAACACAGGCGTACGTGTGTGGGATGGGTACAAACAGGGGCACTTTGACCTGCGAGCATTGTTGTTCGTAACAATCAATGATTGGCCTGCTCTTAGTAATCTTTCAGAACAGTCAAATAGGAATATAATGCATGCATGCACTGTTTTGATGACATGGAAGGTATATTCTTGAAAAAATGTCAAAAGGTCATGTACATGGGCCATCGTCGATTTCTTCCATTGAATCACACCCTAAGAAAGAGAGGCAAGCATTTTAAAGGTAAGGTAGAGCACCGAACAAAGCCTAACAACCATAGTGGTAAGGATGTATTCAATATGGCCAAGGATGTACAAGTAGTCTTTGGGAAGGGACCTAGCAGCCAATCTATTTTGAATGATGCTAACAGACACACACCCATGTGGAAGAAGAAGTCCATATTTTGGGAGCTACCCTACTAACAAGTCCTAGAGGTCCACAGCATGATCGATGTGATGCACCTGACAAAGAATCTTTGTGTGAACCTGCTAGGCTTCATGGGTATGTATGGGAAGGCTAAGGACACACTCGAAGCAAGATAGGACCTGCAGTGTATGAAAGAACGAGAGAACCTGCATCTAGAGAAGGCAAACCTGCTTGGCAAAGGGATCCATCCATTTTCAATCGATTGGCCCGAATGCTCCAAGAATTGGTTTTTTGCGTACGGGAAATCGCACATTCAAGGACATGATTACTCCATATGATACATGGCGACCTCAAGT